TCAGTAAGAAATATCCATAAAAAAACTCAACGGATTTACACGTTTCACAAAAGTCACCTCTGGGACAATTGCCCCCCCCCCCTCCCCCCTTGCCTACGCCAGTGCTTGTCCTTAATAAATTAAGGTATACCAACAAATGGACAATGATTTAATGGATCTCCTGATCGCAGAGTTTGGTACCTATAGATGTATTACAAGTAAATGATATTAACATTGCTACAACATTACCTTAATTTAATGTTATCAGAAGTACAGGAACGGGTGCATACCACATACAACATATTCGTTATCTACTTGATAAAACCTATGTTGAGACAACCTATTCACTAATCTATCGGAGAGTCTTCTTTATTCGCTGAAGCAAGCAAAATCCTTTACTGTGTGTGACAAGAGACATCTTGGCACTTTTTTTTATGGGGTGCATAATCTTTTAATTAAAGCATAGAAGTAGGATCACCATGTCTTTCCTTCGAAGTCTTAATTGTCTCATATTTATGAGTACTGTTGTTTACTGCTAAACTTTATGATAACATGACGATCAGAGGGTATATCTAATGGTGGTGTATTAATTAACCTTCAGGTATGATTTATTATGTTAATTATGATGTATATTTTGTTCAGTTGACCTTGAAGTATACTTTGTTAGGTTGACCTTCATGTAAATTTTGTTGTAAGGTTGAGCTGTCTTTGTGATGCTGACTTGGTGACTTTGTGATATGGACCTGAAGTTATACATTGGGACGGCTACCTGATGATATATTTTGTGAAGCTCACCATTCTGTAAGCTTTGTGATACAGACCTTACGGTATACATTGGGACGGCTACCTGATGATATATTTTGTGAAGCTCACCATTCTGTAAGCTTTGTGATACAGACCTTACGGTATACATTGGGACGGCTACCTGGTGATATATTTTGTGAAGCTCACCATTCTGTAAGCTTTGTGATACAGACCTTACGGTATACATTGGGACGGCTACCTGGTGATATATTTTGTGAAGCTCACCATTCTGTAAGCTCTGTGATACAGACCTTACGGTATACATTGGGACGGCTACCTGATGATATATTTTGTGAAGCTCACCATTCTGTAAGCTTTGTGATACAGACCTTACGGTATACATTGGGACGGCTACCTGATGATATATTTTGTGAAGCTCACCATTCTGTAAGCTTTGTGATACAGACCTTACGGTATACATTGGGACGGCTACCTGATGATATATTTTGTGAAGCTCACCATTCTGTAAGCTTTGTGATACAGACCTTACGGTATACATTGGGACGGCTACCTGATGATATATTTTGTGAAGCTCACCATTCTGTAAGCTTTGTGATACAGACCTTACGGTATACATTGGGACGGCTACCTGATGATATATTTTGTGAAGCTCACCATTCTGTAAGCTTTGTGATACAGACCTTACGGTATACATTGGGACGGCTACCTGATGATATATTTTGTGAAGCTCACCATTCTGTAAGCTTTGTGATACAGACCTTACGGTATACATTGGGACGGCTACCTGATGATATATTTTGTGAAGCTCACCATTCTGTAAGCTTTGTGATACAGACCTTACGGTATACATTGGGACGGCTACCTGGTGATATATTTTGTGAAGCTCACCATTCTGTATGCTTTGTGATGCTAACTTTGTGATTGATTTCATCATATTTTGTTTACGTATTCTGATGGTCTTTTATATTTTGTTTCAATAGTTTTAGGTCTTTTAAGTGCAATTTTGACATACTTACAGTTTCCTTCCTCGTGTTTTCGTTTAATGTTGTTTGTTGAGATAACTGGGGAGGTGTGAGCAACATGAACGTTCCATAGGGTGTGTATCATAATTTAATCATCAGAGATTCAAAATATCTGGTCACGTAACATCTAAATTCCCTTTAAACAATGCACTCTGACACACCTATTTAATGTCAAGTAGGTATGTCATTTATATCGTCTCTTGTTATGGTATTGATACAGACCTTACGCCCATTGTAAGTGTTCTGTAAACAAACACATATATGTCGCTTGTGTCAATGTGCAAATATTTAAACTTTCAAATTATAATTGCAATTATAAGACTAGAACATTGGCAAATATTAAAACATTTATACAAAATTGACAAAATCATTTTATTTGATCAAACTAATAGGTCACAAGTGTCTAAATTAACACAATAAACAATTTGAATTTACTAAATTGATTTTACAACTGTTTAAGGGACACAACGATGTCTCTGATACCTACACATAATCTCCGTGTACACGAACCTTTACAATATTAAATTGCATTAATATATAGCGCTGGTTAGAACTGGCATTGATAAACAACAAACTACCATTGTTTCTTTAAAAACAAGGTTGGAAATTATCTCTCCTTAGTTTGGAAGCTATACATGCGTCTGGTCGTTATTAATATGCCTTACTCTAGAAACAATTTATGTTTTGTAGTCGACAGCTAAATGCATAGTAAGGAACAGGTTTCTAATATATTTTATATGCTGTAGTGACTTGATGTCCGTGTATATCTTGTGCGGAAACCTGGATTATTTATCAGCAAACCTGGCATTTTTTACATCAAGCATTAATTGTGAAACCGATATTACATCAGATTTTCTCTGGCAAACGACAATTTAGTTTTCTCCTTTCTAGCACGTGTTCTACGACAGTAGGTAGATTGCGGTCTGTACACTTATGTTGTATTCTTGATGTTTTCTGATAAGATCTTAACAATGCATATACATCAACTAAACAAAAACCATTGTGTATTTCCCTGTACCTTTAATGTTTTCATGGCTGGTATACCTATATCCACAGTATCTACCTGGCGTTTTTTACTTACACGGGTAAACATATGTATTAAACTTTTATATTAAAACGTCTATTTCTAGCAACATTACACTCTTGTTACTTCTTTCTAACAAACACAGTATTTTATAAAAAAAAAAATGATATAACCGTTTAAGATATGATTTATGTATGAAGCAAGTCTACAATGAATTTTGATCAATACAGCATATATGATACTCGTTCATGGTAATTACTAATTGATATCAGGTTATATATATCAAAGAAAAGTTACTATAGTAGTAGGTTCTCACAAGGTCATTAGAATCAATAGATTTAATAGCTATTACAAAATCAATTATTTCTTAATGTTTCGACCCGTCTTTTATCATTACGAATAAGACACGTCTCTCTATAATTTTATTTTCATATTTATTCAGAAACTTGTATCTATGATGCTTTGATAAACTGAGTCCAGGCTACAGGGATGTGTACTTCATATATCTTAAATGATTTAGATGTATTTGTCTCTTGTAAACACATCGGTTTTGCTTCATTATAATTCCTTAAAAATAAACAACGTTTACATAATATTTATCACACAATCTGCCTGTCATCTAGCGAATTCACTCAGGTGATATAATTATAGATATTGGCTACGCCAGGCAGGCATCCATCGCGATATCATATCATTAACGATGACGTTGCGTCAACAATGGAAAAATGGTGAAATGAAATGATTGCCTCCGTTTGATTTTGTCCTCAACATTTTTAATTCAAATCCTTTCAAATTGTAACCTTGCTAAGTTATGTGATTTAAAGTATCTTAAATTAGTTTTAATTTCATATGGAAGTTTAAAAAGTTCATATGAAAGTTTTAAATTAAAAAAAAAAACACCTGTAACACTTTTCATAAAAATACTCATTTCTGATCCTATACATATCGCCTACATAAAAAGCCATAGGACGGTTTAATGAACAGTACAGTTAAAATAGCATCGAATGTTGCATTTATCAGATAACGAATGATTGATATAGGCATATTTAAACTGATCCATTTAGTATTCTAAGAAGTATAAAAATATCAGAAGTAATTTGAAAAATAAATGGATCTCAGTGTACTATCCAAGTCAATTACATCAGAAACTACGGATAAGGAATTGATGTCAATCACCAGAACACTATTATTAACTGCATGACTTGCCATGTGTTCTAAATGTCCCTGATCACGAACCAAATAGCCAGTATATATACGGGCACCCAACATCTCCACCGCCTTAATGAGACGGGTGGACAACCAGGCGAAACACGTAGTTCAGAACAAGTCAAATATTGTTATCAATAGTTTTTGTTTACCACTAATGCAAAAATCACGCTAGAATGACCCCACAATGCCACTTTTGATATGATAGGATGTAAAACGTACACCCCTGTACGTATGGTATGTATCATTAATGGGTGCAGAGGTGTATTTGGTCATTTTATCTGTGTGTTGGTTGACAAGTTTCCTATACACAATATCATTTGCTACATTTGACTTCAGACCAGGTGGATGGAGTTATACTTATCATAATACTGAGGAATCGAAAACTTCCATATACAGGTAAATAGTTAGATATTATAAAGTAAACGCCTTACGATTATTTGTATGCCATCACTACGTAATGTGGTGAGAAGGGATAGCCTGTATGTATAGTTAAAGTATCAAAATGTCCAGCATAATGATATAGGATTGTAATGTAGGACAATATGTGACAAAACGAGAAACTTTTATAGATATAACAGAGATATGATCGTAAGGGACGCACACATACCAATAAATACATTCCATGAAGGGACAAATCGTGAAACACCTTACTAGTTTCCACCAACCAGTCGGGATACTGTTAATTATTCACGAAGCTGAATTTGATTTGATGCGTGACATCACGAAACGTCTACTGAATGCCTAGATTCACGTATTACATTGCCATGTGTTTACTTATTTCAGATTGGACAGCGGAGGACAAGCATCATGTTTGCAATAAACACGTGCCAATGATTGACAAGCCATGTCATAACCAAACATGCAGAACTCCTGAAACACATGATGTACAAGTTATGTACATGTTGTCTTGGATATAACGGGAACACGTGATTATTTGGATATTTGATATAAATGTTACATCACCAGTTCCAATCTTTTGACTTCGTTGGATTGCCTACACTATGGTTGCGGTTATCCAATCTCACTACCTTTTGATCTGTTTTGTGTTGCTGATTGTGACATCCCAAGGAATATCCAAATCGGTAAGTGTCTGTTTTCTTTATTACAAATTACGAAGACGTTTGATAGTAAATTGAGGTAGAGGAGAATGGATGTTAACATGGAATGAATTCAAAAGTTGCTTATGATTAAATGATACGTTAGACCCCAGAATGTTTGTCTAAACCTTCGAAAAGGACAGTTATGCTATTTAGATAACTTATGTTACATGAAGTTCTGTTTGCATCGTGGATAGCTACCTGGAACATGAGTTTTAATTAGAAAGGTCCTTCATGTGGATATTACCATATGGGTTTTTTACTAGTATCAAATCTACTCTCTATTATGAACATTTGAACTTCCATCAAAGAAAATACTTGATTCATTTAAGTTAATGAGACTTATAAATTAACAAAATCAAAAATACTTTGAATCCACATTTTCGCTGTTGTCATAACGACGTTTAATGTAAGTGATCCAATCATTGAATTAGTTCGTTTTTCGTCGTATTGTCCTTGTCGAAATGGGTCTTCATTAAAGGACCAACAAAACGTTACAACATACACGATAGATTTTCATTTTTAGGTACAATATAGCTATCATTTGGATTGATTCCGATTGATATCATGTGCGTTAACGACTCGGTAGTTTTACTGGGCCAAGAACCCTTCCAGCTTAATCGTTTTGGGTTTTGTTATCTCATGTTTACTGCCACAAAAGACATCGGATAATTCCGATAAGTTGTTTTACATTATGTTTTCCTAACATGCTTAGTACGTGTCAGACGTCAATAATCTTTTAAGAGTATCTTTTTTTCTGAAATTAATATTCTGCAATAACCGCCGGCGTGTGTAAACAGTGAGTGCGTGTGTTTTAATATGCAGTAGATACAATGTATTTAAACATAACACCAATCCTCGAGAACCCTTGTTCAAAAAGAAACAAATCGGTGATTACTAATATGTTCAAAACATTTTTCAACAATATACCATCTGTATTTTCCCTCGGTACATTGCAATCATCTACTGATACTATTTTGGATAATTTTTTTTAAGTATTATTTGTTGCTTGGGATGTTTTGTACTACGGTAAAAATGTTCACCATTTACTTTCACCTGATATTTGGAGAAAACAAAAGTGAGGTTACAAAAACCCGATATATATATTATATTAGGATATATAGATCAAGATCATTATACCAGTGTAATGTATAGATTTGTAGCTGATTGGCGTGTAACGTCAGAGTAAAATTTCTTGTTTTATTCAAGTGCTCTCCTATAGTCTTTTTCTTATTGCCATACAACGGAAGCAGGTTGAGTAATGTTATATAAGTCTTGTTCAAGGACCTTGAATACTAAATATATCTTATTATTCTTTCTTTATCCTTCAAATGCTAATCAATACTTTTAAAATGTGTCTTTATGAAAATAATAAGTTTACATGCTCTATAATAATGTCTACTGCTCAAGTGTGAAACTGTCATTTAACGTGGTAAAGATATCCACGTTATCGGCTGCCGAGAGAAAACTCTTGTTTGTCAGACTTCTCATGAATTATAGGCTGTTCCAACAATACCTTTTTTTATCATTTAACGTATCAAATTTATGAATACTAGCAACGCCAAAGCAAAAGTGCAAGCATATTCAAAAGAAATGTTCCTGTCATAGAAAGTACCCGTATGTACACATTAACATTTAGTGACAGATGTGAAGTTGTGATGAGAAGGGAGCACAGAAGGAGATGTTCGTATCAATCTTGTGAAATTCTGTACGAGTTCGAATACCATTGACTCTGATTTATTTAGGAATACAGGTTACCGTCTGTTACAGACGAAACTCTATAATGTTTGCAACATAGTTGATATTTCATTAAATGCCTCGTGCGTTGTTTTCATCAATGCCACGTAATATGCATGATCAATATTAGATACTTCATCATACCTTAATTTGATTAAATCCTCTTCAATTTATTCATATTCAAATAAAAACATGTAAATGTGACAAACTGATCATCCGTACTGTTTACAACAATATTCATTAACATGTCTGATTGATTATGCAGTGTTCAAGAAAATATCTGAAAGTAACTGAAGTATAACGTTTTATTATATCGTCGATTTTCCAGTTTTTGAATTCCATGTGCTATGATTTGTTTTAATGGAATGTTTCTCTGAATAGTTCATCCGCACAATATTCTCAATGCTCTACAGTAATGATGATGTGGACCTGCTTCGTTTAGAAGCACCCGTGATGTGTATAGTTTATCGTTCTTTCCACCATACCACTTGCTCATGCGAAGCTTACCCTTGTTGTTTTGTCATAGTGGTTAGTATCTAATATCATCAGTAATCAGTAATTAAATGTGTTGACCGACACGACCATTTCGCCTGAGAAACAATGATACTGAATTTGACTGTAGTTTGGTAATATAACACACTGCATAAGATTCATATAGATTTGCTATCAAAACAGAAAGGGATTCATTTTCAGCTGTCAGCAGATAAACGCTTACGTTTTGACATCTTTGACGATAATATAAAACCATAGTTAATAAAAATAAAAGGGATGTACTTTAAAATATTGCAAAACTGAGATTAATTATGAAAAAAATCAGATATGCTTTATCATTAGAAATCACTTTTGGAACGTTCTATCTAAATGCAAATGAAATATTTTCATATCATTCCCCCATGTTACCTTCGGTACTTTAAATTCGAAAATAGAGAAAAATGATAACAAGGTTTTAGGGTCATGATTGTCAAATAAGGCTACTATGATTACGCAAGTCATGTTGCTTATTTTTAAGTTATGATTGAATAGCCAATAGTTAAAGATCATATTTCATGCAACTCAACTATGAATGATATCTAATGAATGAGAATTCACACAAGATATACATGTCGTCTATTTTCTGTACAATCAGTAGATTTGAATTTGATTATGTATTTATAAAGATGATATAACGAGTGTGAAGCATAGCGCGAAAAGTAAAAAATAAACATTATACATTTTACGTTTCAATTATTTTCAAATATTATTTCACTCCTTTAATTTCTAAAAAGGAAAACATTAAATACTGTAAGTTAATTTTATGTTACATGTTATTGCTTTTAAGAAAACTCATTATTCATACTTGTGTTCTACCTGTAGTCACGCAAGGATGTAAGAGTGTATCATATGGCGTTCTAAACCACTGGAACCTAGGACCAAGGGTTGACAAGCGGTAACGATAACTATTAGTACTACAATATCAAAATAAGTAATAGTTTTCTATAACTGAAATATGATATATTCACATCATGGAAAATGGATAAAGAGAGTGCCGGAGATATGGTCAGTGCAAAATATTATCTTACATACTCAGCTATTTGATTTACCTCTCTTTAGTGGTGTTAACGAAGGTAAATTCAAGCCTCATTCATATAACCTCAGTTCTGATGAGACAGTACCTTTTGAGTGTAATATCTATGAAACTGACATTAACGACAGTAGCACATCTACTATGTGGTTACATTAATGTTAAATACGAAATAAAAAAAAGAATTCAATTTTCTTTTTATAAAATTGTGGTCGTGGCAATAATTATTTATAACTGTCTTCAATTCTGATAGGCAATGTCATACATGATAATATGTTATAATCGCGATAACAGTTTGAAAGCAATTACAGCAGCAATTGACCTCAGAGTGCACTCCTTCTGCAGATAATTGAGATAACTACTTATTAACTTTGGTTAAGGTTGGCTTACTTTATTTTGATAAGACTGATGATTATCGTGCAACGGTCGGTTAGTTTGTGATGAATTTTATGTCAAAAACAAATATAGTTTCATTTTTGTACTGATACACCATGTATTTTAGAAAATGTAAAACAATATTCTTATACTGAAAAAAGAAATGAATTATTTATGGCGAGTCAATTTATATTCTTTGTGATGCCAACGATTGATGACTTCAGACTGTTTATTAGAGTAAAAAATATATTTTACTAATTATTCTTAATCAATACAACGGCCAGAGCTACGTGCTGCAGTGTAAAACCAATAATCAGAGACATGTTGCATAATATCTATACCCGGTACGGGAAGAATCAAGTAGCACCCCAGACAATAGACAGTCACGTCATAAGAAACCATTGTTGCTGAAATGTACATGAGTTTTATACCTGTTTAATGACTAGGTCATACAGTGCAAACTTGATCTCTAAGACAGATGTTAAGTAGTTCTTAATTGGATTTTACGTCTTCTGCAGGTAAAGTAATTCAAAGTATTAGTTACACCTCCTGTCCTGCTTAAACGTTGTAGACCTAAATCCACAACCATTGTCATCATTTAACTTGTTGTCACATGACAATGATAAAGGTTAATGATAGACCAGGTTACTTCTTTCTACATATCTGCAAAAAATAATTACAAAAATCCCTTCTGTCCCATTACGATGTTAGAATTGGTATGAACACAATACCATATATAAAGATACATATATTACAAAGTATTGTAAGCTTACACATTTTATTTTCTCATTACCTTGTTTTGTATTGGTATGAAACAAAAGATCCATATACAGAAAACAGACGTATTAAAACTTATCGTAAACTTACAGCTACTTTACAAACTTCTTTCAGATATTTCTAACGCATACAAACGCCTATAATATTTATGTAAAAAGTTATGGTCTACACTGATAACGCTGTACGCTCTTTACATGATAAGGATCCAACAGATGGAAACTCATCGGTCGTGATATAGCATACTTATAGGTAATCATGTACAGTGGACGAATAATCCTTTTATTACTGAAGCACAGTATGTCCGCAATTACTAGACTGTAGGCCACTTATCTGGCACAGCGACTAACTACATCATTTTACCAGCGAATTCAGTATTGACAAGAAATAGAATCATAGCTAATATCAATATTCAAAACCGGCGACGGATGAGCTCGTCAAATTGACGCCAGTCAACCATCCAATAGGTTGATATGGTCCATATTTCCATCTCCAGATTAATTACGGAGACGAAAATTATGTTCGGTACGCACGGGTT